CGTCCGAGCAGAGCTATGCCTATGAAGGGTTGAACGCAGACGTCACTCACACACTGCATGCACTATGAATCGGATGAGCGAAACAAAATATGATAATTTCGGCACATTATTCGAAAGTATACTCCTCCCAGAACGAGTGCTTCCTTCTATTCGACGGAACAGTTCTGAAAGTAAACGGACCAGCTGTCGTGGCACACTACTTGGTTCCATTTTATTTCTCTTCATCAGCTGGGGCAGAAGTTCATATGCAACAACATTGCTCAAATGCCACCGGAGAATTAGCCAATTGAATGGCAGATGTATCCGGACGAATGCATTTATGCAAAAAGCCACCACAATTCCTTAGTATGAACGATACCCGTTCTTGTATTCATTGGCCGCTTAGATGATGATTCCGGTTGAACTGTCGAGGCGATGTCTTTGGAGATGGCTTGATATACTAGGAAACACTGTGTTAGGTCGCACTCAGCGTAGTGGTAAATAAATTCGGGTCATTAGTTTATCGTAAACAGGGTCATTGGACAAATTAGGCCCATCGGTTGAAGTATGTTTAGGGTTGCCCGTTTAGTCATGATGATTCAGGCGTTGTGAACATGGGCTTGAGTACCAGTTTTGCCACGCTCGTCACGCATGTGAGACGTCCGGGATTGAAACACCGGAACGGCTGACAAACGCTACTGAGCATGAGCAATAACATGCAAATATATGGACCACGCTGCTTTGCTCTGTGAGGCGGATGATCACGTCAGTCGAAACAGCAAAGGAGGAGGGCCGTTCAACGGCATCATTTCGTTTAGCATCGCAGAATATTGATTTGAACTTTCTCTGCTAGTGTGTACTGTGAACTTATGGGTACGGCCTGGTTGTTTCTGAGTGTATGTCATTATACTGACTAACGAGTGGTAACTTATTGGATTCGAAAACAACTCGGCTAATGCTCTCACCACCATGAATGCGTCTACGACTAGAGTAGAACCTAGGTGAGCTGTGTAATGTAATTGAATGCATAAATACTCCTTGACCTCTGTTCGAAAATATCCCCTCGGTCGGGGCGCAACACTCAATTTGGTGGGCAGCTTATTCATTCATATTCCATGACACAAGCAGCAGAATAATGGTTCCATGAACTCTGTCGTAACTTTGAAGAGAAATATCAAACAAACATCGTGCTTCCATCTGGGGTTGTCCGACCAGATCCACGTTTGTTAGAGCACACCTCTTTAAAACTGAGGGTACCGTCTGCCTGGCAAGGCAATCCCTTGGCGATGAGGCAAAATGAACCTAGGAATTATAGGAAAACAAAAACGTAATTCAGAGCAATGCATAATAGTGTTATTATTTTTTCACGTGATTTTGTGGATGTGCAGCTCCGTTTTGTCGGACGTCCCACAGGATTTGGATTTTAGACGACCGTCAATTAATCTTTAGCTTACAGTAAAACTGACATTTCTTATCCAAAATGGG